GCCACCTCAAGCTTCCATCCCTGACCACAGCTGCCCTCAGGAGCTGTCGCTGACCCAGATGCCCTGAATGTCCCAAATGGCCAGCACAGGCCCCTGGGGACCCAGCATGGGGAGGGGCAGGGGGAGGAGCAAGCTTCTACCACACCCTACCCTGAGTGACCTCTATCTAGGGCTCAGAGCCTAGGGTGGAGTTGGGGAGGGCAACGGCACTGTCTGCACGCACACATGTGCACAGAGCTGCCTGCACACACACACCTGTGATACACGCACACACGTGCAGAGCTGCCTGCACCCACACACCTGTGATACACGCACACTCCCACACATGCGGACAGGTCACCCGCACACCTGAACACACCCGTACACTCACACGCACACAGCACTCGAATGCACTAACTCCTGGCTACAGGGTGTGGAGCTGGGGCAGCCCTGGACTGTGGACTTCCGGGTGGAGCTGGAAGAAGCTCCAGGTGTCCTGTTCCCGGCCCTGTGTGTGTCCGACTCCCTCAGGCCATGGCGCACAGACCCCACACAGAAGACCACCGCCCTGCATGGAGCCCCTGGGGTCCACCCCCTCCGCTTCTGCACAGCTGGCGGCACTGCCCCACTCAACCCTCCAACCACCTGGCCTCCTTCCCAACCCTCACCTGGGCGAGTTCTCTGGGTCTCTGCACCTGGGAGCTGACCAGCCTCTAGCCAGACCCCACCCCGCACTCCTGCTCCCTAACTCAGTCGTGGGTCTGCACATGATGGGGGTCTCCACCACGGCCCCAGCCTGGCGGCCTCTCTGCAGCCTCCCCTGCTTGTGACTGGGGTCCCCAGGAGCTAACCCCACACAGCCTGTGATTCGGGCACGCACACAGTAGGAGCCCAATCCGTGATGAGAAAAGCCGCTCTCAGGAGCCCGATCCACAGAAACCCCCCCACCAGAGCCCCTCCAGCCTGAGCGCCGAGCGGCCGTGGAGGCCAGCCCAGGCCACACCAGCTGCCCTCTGGTTCCTCGCAGGGCCGGGCAAGCAGGAAGCCTGCCCCGCAGCCGGCCGCTCCCCTGACTAGGTCGTGTGTCTGGTTCCGGCAGTTTGGAAGCTGAGCAAGCTTCATTCCCTCAAAGGCCCTGGAAACCCCCACAGAGCTCACTGGCCACCGGCCTCCCAGAAGTCCACCCTGGACCCCCTGTCCTTCCCAGGCCCTGGCAGAGCAGCCTCCACCACCAAGTTGTGACAAGGATGAGCACAAGGGAGGGGCCTGTGCCCGCTGAGCCGCAGACACAGTCCTGTCGGCGCTCCCGGGTGCCAGCGCACGGGGCATGGAGCAAGGACCAACCGGGATGCCCAGCCTGGACTTCAGGGCGCAGGAAGACAGAGCCGGGGTCCCCACCCTCCTGGGCCTCCTTGGGGCCAGCCCAGAGCCCTCTCCCTGCCCCGTGCCTAAAGGGTGGCTGTGCCAAAACTCCCGGGAGCTGGGGACACGCACGGTTCAGACTCCACCGTCTCCTTCTCCGCCAGGTAGTTGTGGGGCACATAGCCCTGGGCCACGGCCCCACCCGCCTCGTCCAGCAGCGTGGCCCACCACCACTGCTCCTCCTTCCTGGTCACGTGGAAGACGTCCCCCGCTCGGAAGCTCAGCTCCTCGTCTGTCCGGGCCTTGAAGTCCCAGAGGCCCACGTACTTGGGGCCCAGGTGAGCCTGGTCCCGTGACACCATGGCGGGCACCGAGGCAGGACCCGGCTGTGGGCTGCTGGAGCGCGGGGCTGGGCGTGGCAGGAGGCCGCCCGCCAGGCATCCCGCCCCCTTCCGCATGACAGGCAGGGAGGCAGCCACACCCAGCACCCACAGGCGCTGGAGAGCACCCGACCCATCTGAGGGCCCAGCCGGCCCCACGAGTCCTCACACCCACAGGGCCAGGCTGCACTGCCGGCTGCACGGGGCCCTTCTGGCCACTTAGCACCCCGGCTCTGGGAACCTGCCGGGCAGGCCCACAGGACCGGCCTGAGCGCTGGAGAGGGAGGGCGGAGGACCCCCAGACGGGGCCTTCTCAACCTTAGAGCCGAAGGGGCCAGATGGGGGCTGCCTCTCTCCCCACTTCTGGAAGCCTCCACTCACCCAGCCCAGACCCCAACCCTGAGCACAGGGCCCAATGCCGGGAGCTGCTGTGGGTGGGTATCCTGAGAGTCCCCTCAGGGGCCGGCCCCACCCAGCAGAGGACACAGGACTCGCCCTCGGGAAAGGGCCAAGCAGGGAAGAGGGAGTGGAGTCAGGGCAGCGATCACTGTGTGGGTCAGTCCCGAGGACTTCCTGGAAGAGGAGGGCCCAAGGATTACAGGGGGTCAGGGGTGATCCCGGGAGGCAGAGCCAGGGCACCCGCAGCTGAAGAAACGGACCCTGCCTTCCTCCACATGGACGCCAGGGGGCGGGCAAAGACCATGAGTGCGGCCTGGGAGTGCCACAGCGCCAGGGCCCAGGGCCCACCTCCTGCCCAGGCAGCCCCTCCAGCTGCAGCCTCTGCCTCCTTCTGCCCAGCCCCCACAGCCCCTGCCCCCTTTCAGCTCCCCTCCCCCTCCCACCCATGCCCGAGTGAGCCCTGACCTGACCCCCACCTGCACCCGGCTGCCGCCTGTCCCCACTTCACGGAGGCCCCCCAACCCACCCTCCCACCGACCCTGCTGTGTCCACCAGGGAGCTCAGACCCAGGGACCTCGACAGCAGCCGCAGGGAGCAGGACGGGGTGGGAAGGGACCCGCAGACTCTGCCAGGGGTGGTGGGGAGACCCCTCAACTGTGCATACTTGGACTTCTATTTTTATCGCAAAGAGAAATAATGGCACCTTCCACTCATTTTGTTTTGAGATTAAGAATAATCTGGATTATTTAACAGCTTCTTAGATTTCTGGGCAGCTCAGCGCTGACCAAAGTCGGGAGGGGCAGCGGGGTGTTAGGCTGGGTGTCGTCCCTCAGGCCCCCCAGCTCTGCCGGGGGTCGGTGGGGGTGATGCAGGGGGAGGTGTGGGAGGTGGTGATGAGGGGCAGGGGCAATGGGTGTTGGGTTGGGCCTCGTCCCTCAGGCCTCCCCAGCTCTGCCATCTTGGTGCCCACGAGCCTTGGGCCTCTGGGTCCATGAGTGTGTGTTCAGGGGGCCTCGAGTGCCCCTGAGTTCGGACGTACAGGACCTTCAGTCTAAGCCACACCAGGAATGGCCAGGAGGCAGCCCCTCCCCAATACCCAGGAGCACCAAACCTGTTTAGTGAGTGGCTGGCCAGATGCCTGGGAAGACACGGGGGCCACAGACACACCAGGTCCCCTTGAGCCCAGCACCTCCATTCCTCCCGGGTGGGCTGTGCCCATCTCAGCTCTGGACTCAGAGTGGCCACAGAAAGCACAGAGGGTGGGGCCTTCTGTGCCATGGGAGCCCCCAGGCTGCTGTACCAGGGACGTGCCCAGAACCGGAAGCTCAGCTCAAAGCCTCACTGGGCCCAGCTGACAGAGCCAGCTTCTCTCCTAGGCTCTCCCGCGCCTGTGGAGCGGGCAGCTGGCCAGCGTGCTGAAGGGCTCAGACAAATCCTCCTGCCCCACCATCTGCAGGTCCTGGCTCTGGCCACCTCCCTCCACGTGGCTTTGCTTACGGCCCCTGCGCTGTCCTGTCCTCTGAGCCTCCAGGGGCCTCTTCCTTCCGCGGGGCCACTTACCTTTGCACTCGGGAGCCTCGTCCCCCAGCTCCCTCCTGAGCCAGCCTGTGGATGGTGGCCATCAGAGCATTGGCTCAGCAGGTGCAGAGCTGACCCTGACTCTAGGGGATGAGGACCTCAGGCCTGAACTCGTCCTCAAACTTTCTGTCCCTGCAAGCCTTCTGGGCATGGCTCTGAGCCTGGGCTCCCAAAGGGTTGGGGGCAGGGTCTTCAGGGACCCTAAACACAGACCCCACTGGCCCCATGTGCCTGTCCCCCTCCCCTTGATTTGTCTCACAAAGACCTAAGCCAGATGCGCGGTGAGCGAGGCCAACCCCGTTCGTCTCTGCCACTCCTGCCTCGGTGACCCCAGAGTATTCACACCCAGAGGCTGCCCTGAGCCAGCTGCTGTTGTTTCCAGCACAACATGGCATCTACCCCCGACCCCCAACCTCTGGCCCCGCCTGACCCTGCGCAGCCAGAAGACCCCACATCCCCCAGGGCCCATCCTGAGGCCCCTGGAAATGGCCTCTGAGGACAGCTCCTAGGCCGCCAAGCCTCCCTGCCCACCCTTCCTGTGCCTGACCGAGCTCCTGGAGCCCACCCAGGAGACGGAACCAGCTGCTCAGGCAGCTTCTGCCAGTGCCTGTGGGGCTCTCACTGTCTGGGCACTGTGATGTCCTGGGCTTGGGGCCTGGGGACGTGGAGGCCACTCCAACCTGCATTTTCTAGCAGACCCCACACTCCAGCTCCTGGATCTGGGTTTGGGGAGCTGAGCCTGTGTGTGGTATGTGTCTGTGTTCATGTCTGGGTGGGCCAGTCCCCACGTACTGGGTGCTGCGTGTGTGCTGGGTTTGCGCACAGCACACCCTGTGCCTGCACAGCACGCGCCCGATGGTGTCAACACCGTGGTCTGCCGGGGAGTCCAGCACTGGCCACTTCCACAAACCCAAGCTGGGACTGGGGAGAGAACTGGGCCTCTGGCTCTTGACCCTGCAAGGGAGTCCAGGGAACCCGGACGACAGGCTTCAGCGAGGAGACACACTGCCTCGGGGTTTCCGAGGTTCCTCCCACCCCGACATGCTATTTGTCTCTGAGGAGTGCAGGGGACACGGACACACGGAGAAGGTCAGCCCTTCACTCTACGCCAGGGACACGGTCACACGGAGAAGGTCAGCCCTCCACTCTGCGCCAGGGACACGGTCACACGGAGAAGGTCAGCCCTCCGCTCTGCGCCAGGGACACGGTCACCCGGAGAAGGTCAGCCCTCCACTCTGCGCCAGGGACACGGTCAC